AACCCAACCCAAAAAAAGGGGCCCCCCCCCCCCGCCTTGCCCCCCAGGCCCTGAGGGCAGCCATGGCTGTGTGTCCGCAGTGCTGCTGCTGCCCTACCCCTTCACCAACCTGGTGCTGGACGTGGTGCTGCTCTTCCTCTACCTCGGCACTGAGGCCACCCGCATCTTCTTCGGTGAGTCGTCATCTTCGTGCCATCAAGAGGGGGGGACCTGGGTGGGCTGGAGGGGTGGGTCCGTGCCAAACCTCAAGCACCAAGGACCTGCAGGATGGGTCATAGAATCACAGAATGGTTAGAGTTGGAAGGGACCTTCAAGATCATCCAGTTCCATGATGGGGGGACACCTCCCACCAGCCCAGGTTGCTCCAAGCCCCCTCCAACCTGGCCTTGAAACCCCTCCAGGGATGGGGCAGCCACAGCTTCTCTGGGCAACCTGGGCCAGGCTCTCACCACCCTCACACCAAACAAGTTCTTCCCCACATCTCAGCTCCATCTCCCCTCTTTCAGTGCCAAACCCTTCCCCCTTGTCCTGTCACTACACTTCTCGACAAAGAATCCCTCCCCAGCTCTCTGTAGCTCCCTGCAGATCTTGGTTGGCTGATACTGATCAGGGAAACACCAAGCACAAATCCAGGCTGGGTGGAGAATGGCTGGAGAGCAGCCCTGAGGAGAAGGACTTGGGGGTGTTGGGGGGTGAGAAGCTCCACATGAGCCAGGAGCATGTGCTGGCAGCCCAGAAAGCCCCCCACATCCTGGGCTGCATCCCCAGCAGCGTGGCCAGCAGGGTGAGGGGGGGGATTCTGTCTCTGAGGAGACCCCCCCCAGTGCTGCCTCCAGCTCTGGGGCCACCAACAGCAGGACATGGAGCTGTTGGATGGGGCCAGAGGAGGCCACGGAGATGCTGGGAGGGCTGGAGCCCCTCTGCTGGGAGGGGGGGCTGAGAGAGTTGGGGGGGTTCAGCCTGGAGAAGAGAAGGCTCCAGGGAGACCTTCCAGCCCCTTCCAGTCCCTCAAGGGGCTCCAGGAGAGATGGGGAGGGACTCTGGATGAGGGAGGGGAGCCCTAGGAGGAGGGGGAAGGGTTTGACACTGAAAGAGGGGAGGAAGATTCACAGTGTCCCCCCAGGGGGACAACCCCCCCTTAAACCATGTGTCCCCCAGGCTCCAAGGGCAACCTGTGCCAGCGGAAGGTGCCACTCTCCATCAGCCTGGCCCTGACCGTCCCGGCGGCCGTGATGGCGACGTATTACCTGCTGCTGCAGACCTACGTCCTGCGCCTGGAAGCCATCCTCAGCGCCATCCTCCTCCTCTTCTACGCCGTGGAGCTGCTGCTGGGCATCCTCGCCTTGGTCTCCTTCTCCAGGTACCACCAGCTGGGTGACACTGGGAGCTGGGTGATGCCAGGGTGGGGTGCCAGCCTGGTTTTGGTGGTCACACCTCCTCAATTTTTCCTCCTCTCCCCAATTTTTTCCCTCCTTGGCAGCGTGGATTCCTACTGATTGCCCCAGTGCCACGCCAAAGGACCCACCACAGGTACGCCAGGTGGTGGGGAAGCCCCCGGTGCCACCTCCACCACCCAAAATCAGGCCCACACCGGTGCCCGTGGGGAGGGGGGACACCCCCCCCCCCCCCCCGTCCCCCCCGACCTGCAGGACGCAGCCCCCGGGGTTTGTGACAAAAGGTCAGTTCGAGGTACGGAGAATTATGGTTTGGTTTGATTTTTTTTTACTGCCTTCACAGAATAATTCACTATTTTCCAATAAATATTTTATTTTTACCTGCTGCCTGGCCGCATGGCATCCCCCAGGGGGGGCAGCTCTCAGGAGCTTCCAGCATTGCCCCCCCAGAGACAACTCAGGGGGGCACAGGAGCCCTTTAGAAGTGTCAGAGGATGGTGAGGGTCAGGGAGGGCAGCCACAGAGCCACCAAAAGTCCCCAAAAGCCCCCCTTCTGAGTCCCCAAAAATGGTCATTGCCTAAAAAAACACAACCCCCGGTGACACAAGAGCCCGACAGCAGCCATAGAGCCACCTAAAGTCCCCAAAAGCCCCCCTTCTGAGTCTCCAAAAATGGTCATCACCTAAAAAAAACCAACCCCCGGTGACACAAGAGCCCGACAGCGTCGTCTAAAAGATTTGACAACGTCATCAAGTTTATTACACAATTTTTTTCCAACCTATCAGAAAGACAAAAACCGCGTCTAAGTCACTGCGAGCAGGAGGGGCAGCGCCTCGCTGGGTGGTTAAGAGGGGTTTTGCTCTGCACTTCATCCCCACTAGTTTGGAAAGAAACTAAAAATTTGTGGCGTTAAGTAAAAAAAAAAAACAAAACAAAAAAAATCCAAAAAACAAACAGAACTCTCTCCCCCCCACACACACACACCGAGCGCTTTCCCCCCCGCCGGCACCTCATGGTATTTTACAAGATGGGGGTTTTTTTATGTTGTTCTTTTTCATTTGTTCATGGGATTTCACCCTAAAAAAAAGACCTCTGGAGCTGGGTTTTTCCTGTCCAGCAACAGTTCAGAGGGTGATGCCGCCCGGCTGGCAGCCTTGGGGGGTGGCACCCACCCTGGAAGTCACCCCCCTGTGTCCCCTCAGCTCACTCCAAACCCCCCCTAGGGTCCCCCCTTTCCTGCTGGGGGGACCTGTGTGGGGTCCCCATAGCAGCATGGAGCTGGGGTTGGGGGGGGCCTCCTGCCTGGCTGCCCAGCTGGGCTGGGAAAGGGGGGGGGGGAAGCCCCCAGCACCCCCAGGGGACAGATGTGTCCCCAAAGTGGGGGGTGACAGCCCACCCTGCCTCCTCTGCTTCCTCTAAAACAAGGAAGGTGCTTGCAGGAGAGGTTGGAGCTGGTTTTGGGGAGACTGAGAGCGGAGGTGGTGATGCCACTGCGGGGAACAGTGTGGCACAGGGAGGGGTGACCCCCCCCAGCCCAGCTCCAGCCCCCCCATAATCCCCAGGGAGGGGGATTGGCCACGCTTCCCCCTCAGTTGGGGGGGATAAAGCAGGAGTGTGGCGTCCCACAGGACAGGGACTGCCAGGGCGACGGGGACAGGAGTGTCCCCAGAGGGGGTGAGGGGGTGGGAGGTGGCAGAAGACCCCATCCCGCTTCCAGCGAACCCACTCAGGGATTTTGGGAGCCACACACCTCCCTCACGCTCCACGGCACCGGGATCCATCCCCTGTGGCCACCCCCGGGGAGGAAAGGGCTCACAAACCTCCCTCCCTGGATTAAAAAAAGCACCATTTCTCTTTGGGTCCGAGTGGCCACGGAGCGGAGCGGGGTGGCCCAGGCCTTCCCCCCCTCTCTCTCCCCGGGAAGCAGCAGTAACTGTGGGTGTGGGCAAGGGTTCAGGACCCCCCCCAAGGCCACGAGGTGTCGGTTGGGAATCCCGCCGGGGGGGGCACGGCTTTCCTTGGGTGCCCAGAGAGAGAGAGAGAGAGAGTTGGGGGGAGGGGGTGGCGGGGAAGGGACAGGGGGAGGCGGAGCAGCCTCGGTCACGTAGTCCTGGTCGAGGTGAGGAGATACAAGTCCATTAAAAACCACTTACTGCCAAATTCCTGTGGGGAAGAGAGGAAAAGAGGGGTCAGAGCAGCCCTGAGTACCTTTTCCAGACCCCCACACCACCAAAGTCATAGAATCATAGAGTCATAGAGTTGTCCAGGCTGGAAGGGACCTCCAAAGGCCATCTAGTCCGACCCCCCCGCAGTCAGCAGGGACACCCCCAACTAGACCAGGTTGTCCAGGGCCTCCTCGAGCCTCTCCTTGAATATCTCCAGGGAAGGGGCCTCAACCACCTCCCTGGGCAACCTGTTCCAGTGCTCCACCACCCTCCCAGTGAAGAACCCTCTCCTCATCTCCAGTCTAAAGCTGTTCCCCTCCAGCTTGAAGCCATTGCCCCTCGTCCTGTCACTGCAGGCCTTTCTAAACAGGTTCTCCCCAGCCTTCCTGTAGAATCATAGAATCATAGAATCATTCAGGTTGGAAAAGACCCTTGGGATCATCAAGTCCAACCATCTCCCCTACTCTACAAAGTCCTCCCCTACACCATGTCCCTCAGCACTGCATCTAAATGGCCCTTAAACACAGCCAGGGATGGGGACTCCACCACCTCCCTGGGCAGCCTGTTCCAATCCTGTAGCCCCCCTCAGGTACTGGAAGGCTGCTCTTAGGTCTCCCCGGAGCCTCCTCTTCTCCAGGCTGAACAACCCCAGCTCCCTCAGCCTGTCCTCGGAGCAGAGGGGCTCCATCCCCCTGATCATCCTTGTGGCCCTCCTCTGGACCCTCTCCATCAGGTCCATGTCCTTCTTATATTGAGAGCTCAAGTCCTGGCCACCCTCCTCACCTTGTCTCAGTGGTGCCGGTCCCTTTCTCTGTCCCTGTCCCGATGCCGTTCGTGCTCCCGGTTCCGTTCCTGGAAATAGTCCTCGTGTCGATCTTCGCTGTGGAGAAGGTCCCGGTGTCTCCGGCTGCTTTCCCGGGACCGGCTGGGAGAGCGCTCCCGAGATCGGTGTCTTTTCCTAGGGAAAAGAAGGAAAAAAAATAATAACCAAAACCCAACGCTTTCAGTCACCTCCGAAAAAGATTTCAAGGGGTGGAGGACAAGATCCTCTTTGCAAGAGGATCTAGATAGATTGGATCACTGGGCCAATGCCAATAGAATGAGTTTCAACAAGGGCAAGTGCAAGGTCCTGCACTTGGGCCACAACAACCCCCTGCAGCGCTACAGGCTGGGGGAAGTGGTGCCAGCCCTGCCAGGGATGCTCGCCAGCACCTCCAGCACACCCAGACACGTGCCAGCCCTGAGCCTGGCACAGCTCACAGAGCCTGGGGTAGGGTCTGCTCCAACAGAACCACCCTGCATCGACCATAACCTACAGGAGATATGATCGATTCAGAAAGCAGCATTTCACTGCCATGAAGCTTCACTATCAGAATTTATGTCCATTATTTCATTCTCTGTTGTCAAACAATTTTACCTCCGTTCAGAGGAATTTAGTTTGTCAATAATTACAAAGCAGGAATAGAATAAAAAAATTAAGTCTTTATTAAAAGTTTCCTTTTCCTCTTCAGCCAAAAAAGCTGATAGCAAAAACTTCAGTGAATACTGTAACAGAAGACCATCTTCAGTAAACTCTGGTGCTCTGGCACAAATCATATGAAAAGCGGCTGAAGGAGCTGGGGCTGTTTAGTATGAGGAAGAGGAGGCTGAGGGTAGACCTCATCACTCTCTACAACTATGTGAAAGGACACTGTAGAGAGGTTGGTGCTGGTCTCTTCTCACAGGTAATTAGTGACAGAACGAGAGGGAACGGCTTCAAGCTCCAACAGGGGAGGTTTAGACTGAACATTAGGAAGGAATTTTTCACCCAAAGAGTGGTCGGGCAGTGGAACAGGCTGCCCAGGGAGGGGGTGGAGTCCCCATCCCTGGCTGTGTTTAAGGGCCGTTTAGATGCAGTGCTGAGGGACATGGTGTAGGGGAGGACTTTGTAGAGTAGGGGAGATGGTTGGACTCGATGATCCCAAGGGTCTCTTCCAACCTCAATGATTCTATGACAGAGATGGGGAGGAAAGGATTGAGAGGGAGTGTGAGGAAGCCCCTTTCCCCCCCCCCCAGAGCCAGGGCTACCTGGAGGAGCTGCTGCTGGCGCTGGTGCTGTAGGACTTGGCTTCGATGCCGTGGAGACAATCTTTGAGGGAGGAGAGGAGGACGCGGCACCGCTCGTCGTTGGCCACGCGGGACTGCTTGATGACGGCGATGGCCGTGAGGAGGGTCTCGATGGCGTCGCTGTAATCGCCTGGGGAGGGGAGAGGAGGAAGGCTGAGGGATCTGCCAGGGGATGGTGGGGACATTGCAAGGGGTGGGGGACACGCACGGTGACATTTTTACCTGCGCTGGCGCCGGATACCGCCTTGGAAATGGCGCTGCTGGAGATGGCCCGGTTCCTGTTCATGATCTCCTCAAACTCCACTTCGCTCACGGGGGGAGGTGGGGGGCCGAGCTCCCGGCTGAGCAGGAGGAACATGGAGTTGGGGTGAGGTCAGCAAAGCTCTCCCCACATTTGGTAGCCCCCTCTCCTCATTTAGTAGCCCTCCCCACCCCCCAAATTTGGTAGCCTCACCCCCATCTCACCTGCTGTGGTTGTAGGGAGCCATGGCCTTGCCGTAGGTGTCCGGCGGAGGACCCAGGGCCGCGTTGGGTGGGGGGAAGAAGGCAGGGTTGAGGTGTAGGGCTGGGGGGACAGCCCCCGGGGGTGGCACTGCCAGGTGAGGGGGCAGTCGAGGTGGCGGGGGCATGAGATGCTGGTAGTGGATGC